CCTGAACATGCCAAAATAAAAAAACATAAAAAAGTTGTTGTTCCAAGTGTTCCTTATTTTTACATAGAATAAAAAATTTGCTTAGTCTGAGAGTTAGTTCAGTTAAACATGTATTATGGGAGAAATTCCATTTATAAAAAAAAATAGTGATCGAATTGAAATTGTGTTTATATAAAATAGTTAAATATTATGCTGGAATAAACATTAGCTTAAACTAAAAAAAAGTATGCACTATATCTATCTATAGTTGATGAAATTATGTTAGAAGTTATTCAAAAAGGTTACAAAATTTATTCAAAGTGCTTACATAATTAATTTGTATAAAAAAATTTAGAAAACTAGATTTAGCAATTTTTTTTCTTTTTTTACTTTTTATAGATGGAGGACTGCTATAAGGCTGTTTACAAATTAACAAATTTTGAACTTGAGTTGCAAATATAACAACTTAAACAGGTGACTTTTTAAAAACTCTTAGGTAAATTTTATTTTCAATAAAACTTATTATAAACTCATTTTACTGATTAACTGCGTTTATTTAGTTGTTTATGTTCTTTTTAATAGAATTAGTTAATGAAATTTAGTGTTAATTACTTTCTTTTTTTAAATTGATCCTAATATACTCACAAATTTCTCACGAGCAAAATAATAAATCCTTAAAAAAATATTAAATATTAATTATTAAATTTTGTATTTAAAAACTTTTTTCACTTTTGAAAAACGAATGTTAAATTTTATAAAGATATCTTGTATGTTTGGTTTTCCCTACCAATACACATATGCATTTTACTGACTGACTGTTTACTTTTTTACTGACTGAAACTTTCTATTTACTATTTTACTAATTGACTTTTACTGGCTGACTTATACTATATACTATTTTACTGACAGAAATTTACGATTTACTATTTTACTGACTCTTCCTCTTAACTGCATATAGTATTATGCTTTTTATTCAGTCCCTAAATTTTTTTTCAAAATTGCTAAAATTTTATCTTTTAAAAATGTCATCTTATTTCAAAAGTTTTGACTTTTTTTTCAAAGAAAATTAACTTTATAATATTTTTAACTTCTTTTGATTTTCTCAGAGGTTTTGGAATTCAGATTTGCAGTTGCTAATGAGTTGTTGTTGTTTTTTTTTAATAAAAAAAGATTTATCTTCTATTTAAATTATCTAAAAAAAAAAAGATTTAGCTCTATATAAGTCGAAAGACTCAATAAGAACATATATACATATTGTATATGAGAGATGTGAATTTTGTATTGCTGTAGAGGGTATGGTCTTTTAAATGCTGCTGTTTAGATTTCTTAATATTAGCAAACAAATTAAAGACTTAAATATTTTTAAAATTAGTTTTTTACATCTTTGCTACGTCCAGGGAAATAGAATTAATAAACAAATTATTTTACCAAGCATTTTTCAAAATATGAAATCAGCATCTAACTCTAAATATTCTAAAAGAATATTTAGTGCTAAAAGCTGATTTCATATTATTTTGTATTTATAAAATAAAATGTTGCTTATTTTGAAATTTAACATAAATTAACATAAAATACAAAATAACTTAAAAAAATATATATTTTTTAAAATATTAGTGGGGGATAATTAAAAAGCAAACAAACAGCATATTGGATAAACTTTAGGCTAAAGAATCACAAGAAATTTAGAGTATATATTTTTAAATACTATTTTGAATAAACGAGTACATAATTTCATACTTTTTCATTTTTTCAAAATATTTTCAAGGGCAACTGCCTAAGTGCAAGTTTCACAACTAAGAATCTGCATAATTATGTAGCTGTTGTAGTTTCAAACTTTGCATAAAACCAAAATCTTATGCAAAATCTGTATAAGCCCAAATCTGCATAAGTGCAATCTTGAAAAAATGTACCTGTATTTATCAATTTAAATTAATTTTTTATATACCTTTTGATATATAAATGTTTGTTGCTTGCATTTACAAAGATTAACACCTACGCAAGTTTATCCCTGTTTTTGCAAAAATTTTTGATGCATTTATGCCAGTGGTTTGCACTTTCACAAATCTCTTGTACTTATGCCACAGATTTGCATAATAACTGCATAAATAAACTTTTTATATATTGTAGATAAGGTAACTAAAGCCTACGGGGAAACTAAAGCCATTATAGCAGATAATTTTTGGATGGTGATAGTGGCAGTACTGTTTGGATTCAACAGCTGATGCTGTGTTCTTTTAATAGGAACTTGGAATGCTTTCTAAATACTTGTCTGGATTATTAAAACAATATCACGGTAAGTGTACAGTAAAACTATATATTTAACCTAAAAAATTGATAAAAAAGTTACCTTGCATAACTTCTGCTCTAAACAAATCATTTTTAATCTTAAATTCTCATAACTTTCAACAAACATAACCTCAATTTATGTTGCATCACACCTTTAAAGGTTATAACCTATAACTTGATTCTTTCTTTTGTTGTGATGTTTTTTTTTTCAGTGATACACAACATGGGGTAAATAAAGCCACATCATAAAGGTGGCTTTTGTTTCCCCATACTTTATAATAAGTCAAAATTCCTTAAGTAATAAATTTTTTCTCTTTTTTAGGACTAAAAATGCCTCGAAACCCAAAGAAGAAGCTTGGTAGCCGGAAGTATAAGGATTACACAGATGAAACGCTGAAAATAGCTGTAGAAGAAGTGAAGAAAGGGTCAACTTTAAGAAAGATTGCTGAGGAGATTTGCTCTCACTGCTGCCCTGAAAGGTAAGGTTAACAAATGTGGTAGCCTCCAGTTCTTAATTATGAAGAAGAAAGAAGATTAGTTGAATCTATAAGCATGGATTCCCTCTTACAGCACTAGACATAAGACGAATAGTGAAAGGTTACCTGGATCGGTGTGGCCGAAATGAAGTTAGGTTCAAAAACAATATGCCTGGAGTTGATTTTATTGACAGTTTTCTCAAAAGAAACAGTAAAGATCTTTGCAAACGGTTGGGTCAAAACATTAAAAGAAGTGGAGCGGCTATAAGTAGGGACATCGTGAATAACTTTAATTACTTAAATAATAAAGCTTTTTTCTTGTCAATAGTGGTTCTTTATTGTTACAGATGCATGATTTATGGATTTAGTTACCCTAGCACTCTCTAACTAAAGTCAAAAATTGCTTTTTAATGGATGGCTTTTGTTACCCTTTTTCCAGGGGTAACTAAAGCCACCATGTTTTCATTTTTTTTTTATTAAAAAAATGTATATTTCTGCAATTTAGTAATATATTTCTTTAATATATGACCACAGACCCAAGTTTTGCAATATTTATTTAACCTATAAATTAAAGGGTCTAACTTGGGCAGAAGTTTGAATTTCGAAAGTGGCTTTAGTTACCTCCATCTACGGTGCCTTTTGATATATATATATATATATATATATATATATATATATATATATATATATATATATATATATATATATATATATATATATATATATATATATATATATATATATATATATATATATATATATATATATATATATATATATATATATATATATATATATATATATATATATATATATATATATGTATATATATATATATATATATGTATATATATATATATATATATATATATATATATATAATTGTTGCTTTGATTTGAAAAGATTTACACCTACGCAAGTTTATCCCTGTATTTGCAAAAATTTTTGACACAATTATGCCAGTGGTTTGCACTTGCACAAATCTCTTGTACTTATGCCACAGATTTGCATAATTATTGCACTTGTGAAGTTTGTACTTAGTAAAAATTGCCTCCTGATTTTATTATTGAAGAAAGTTTTATAAACAAAGTCCAAATAGATTTTAATTTAATTTTTAATTTAAATTTTCAAGTTTAATTATAATTTAATTGATTTTTTTCAATAGAGCAGTTTGTTACAGATAGTGATTATGATGTTTCTTCCTACGCTTGTTTGCACTTATATGCGGTAGTAATGTAATGGTAGAGCGCTCGCTTCATAAGCCAGAGGTTCGGAGTTCGATCCCCACCACGTCTTCAGGGTTTGTGTTTCTGAGTTATGGAGTTGAGAGAAGGTTTTAACCACAAATAAGTAGCCTCCTCAACTTTAGTGGCTTTCTTGACTTTGAGGAGGTAAATTAACAAAATATATATATATATATATATATATATATATATATATATATATATATATATATATTGCTTTTTTATTTTTTATACATTGGGTTTTATTACTTTGCTATTTTGTATGCATTAAGTTACACTTATGCTACTTGTATTTTATATATTTGTATTTGTAATTATATATATAGTCAACCCTCAAAAAAAATATATATTTTTTTTTTCAATTTTTCATTTTTTTTCTTTTTTCATTTTTTTCCTTTTTCATTTTTTTGTATTTAAAAATTAAGAAATATCAATTTTTAAATATTAAAAATTGCTTAACAAACATGCAACAAAATTGCTCTATTAGCTCTTAAGCGATACTTTGAACAATGGAAAATCTATAAATATATGTAAAAATTGTGGTGGACAAAGAAACCTAAAAAATGTTAAAAAAATCTTTTATTTAACTATAAATAAAAGACAATCTATAAACAACTGAAAAAATCAAAATCTAATAAAATGAAAGAATACTCCGTGTATTCCATACAAAAGATATGTTCTAGCAAGTAAAGATTTTTGTAAAGCGATTGTCTATAACAAACAAAAGTTCAAGACTTAAACTTTTGTTGAAGTTACAAATGTTTAGGTTTGGAATTCTAAAAATGCTTAACGTAAAGCCTTTGCTTTTTTTTACCTGTCGGGTAAACGTAAATAAATTCATATGCTAAAAAAAAATTCAAATTTAAAATCAGCAACTGAACTTTAGTGTCAAAAGTTGTTCAAATTACCCCCCTTAATCTAAATTAAAAATCAACAAATTATAAATGTAATTTTTAATAAAACACTTTTTAATTGTTTTATGTTTCTATTTTTCAAATTTAATTCAGTAATGGTTCATTTAACAGTGATAAAGAGTTGAAAATATATAAACTTCAAGAGGAGTCAACAGAATTGCACCGAACAAAAGGAGAGGTTAGGAGAATTTAAAAATTCTTTTTAATATAATTTTTTTTTTAAAAGGTTTGGCAATCATTGGACTTTTTCTGTATAAAATGTATGTAGGAAAAATATATTATATGCTGCACAAAATGAAGTTTCATAAAAAAGAGGAATTATCTAAATGGTTTTGTTATTTTTCTGGCTTTTGAAAAAAAAGTATTGTGGTGTTTTAATCATAAATTAATATTTAAATATTTGAATTTTGTCCTAGAAAGTCAATACAATGACAATATAACTAAATATATAACAGATAATTTAACTGAATTTATAACAGATGACTAATGTGCAGAAACTAAAAAAAAATTTCTTCTTCTTTCAATTCGTAGTAATTTATGGTATTGGAGAAGTTTTTCTAATGTATTTAATAGGGGGCCTGTCGCTGGAATTTTGGTCCGCGAAAATTTTTTTAATATTTTCGTTGAAATTTTTGGTCCGGCCGGATAAATTTTTGCGATAATTTTGGTTCACCTTGAAAAAAATGATCCGTGATAATATTTCAAAAATTTCGCACAAATATTGCAGTTTTGAAAACGGATCAAAATTTTTGGTAAAATTTTTGGTCCGTGTAAATCAATTTTTGATTTTTTAACTTAAATTTATAAATTGATAACAAATTTAGACATAATGAGTGTAAAATAGTAAAATGGATATGATCATAGTTTTTTAACGAGTTGTTAAATCTTTCTTTAGGTTTTATGAAATCAATTTCTCCAAAGAATAATGGTTGGCTCATTCATACTCTATGATCTTTCATAGCTTTTTCATATTTAATAGAAAAAATTTGCATATATGATGCATAGACCGCATAGATGCATTGACCCGGCATAGTCATATCTTATTATACTTCTTTTTTTTTTTTTTTTTTGTTCTTTTATTACATGTAAAATAGGCATTTTGTTACAATATTTCAAATACAAATATATAATAATAAATTTATATATAAATGTATTGGTCGTTACTAACTATTTATATATAAATATATATATAGTTATCAACGAACATTTCTTAGCGGTACTCGACGAATGTCGTCGAGTACCGCTAAGAAATGTTCGTGTTAAAATTTAAAAGATAATTACAAGGTTAAAAAATAAAAATAAGTTAACAAAAGTAAGAAACTTAAAATAATCCATAATAAATACAAGATGCGTTTCATCTATTATATATGTAAATTACAGTTGTTAAGGATACACATATACTTTTTATAAGTTCATGTTTAAATAAATGGTAAAAATAAAGATCACAAAAAATATCAGAAGTATATTGTTAAATCATCGATTTCAAAAATGAGTTCTTTAAGCTTTTGTTTAAAAGAAAAGTAGTTACTTTGATTAATAAAATCCTCAGTAATATTTTTTAAAACTATTTTATTCCATAAGAATAGTCCGCGATAATCAATACAAAATTTAAAGAGATTTGTTTGAAAATTGGGCTGCTTAATAAAATTATTATTGCGTAAAATGTATTTATTTTTATCTTTTGATGAATACAAATTATGGAAAGAAATCAGGGATGAATTGGTTTTACATTTAAACATTAAACAAAGAATATTAAAAATATTAATCTCATATATATTAAAAACTTTCATTTCAAATAAAAAAGGCTTGGTATGAGTATAACGGTCTTTAAAATATTTAAGACGTGCTACATGCTTCTGCTGGCAATAAAGAGGTTTAAGTTTGTTTTTATTTGCACTACCCCAAGCAATGTTTGCATAGTTTATGTGGCAATGAATAAATGAGTGATATAATTGTACTAAAGTTTGTTTATTTAAGACATTTCTCGCTTTGTACAATATTCCTATACTTTTTGAAATTTTACTTGATAAGTTTTTAATGTGATTTTTCCATGTAAGATTTTCATCTAAACAAACTCCTAGAAAATTAGTTACTGTTACTTTTTTAATTTGTATATTGTCAATAAAAAGTGGAGGCATGTTAATTGGCAGTTTATGTTTTTTGGTAAGAGGATGGAAAAGAATCCATTTAGTTTTATCAATGTTCAGGGATAGTTTGTTTGTTTTGAACTAGTCAGATATTTTGATTAACTCGATGTTCACGTTATGAAATAAAGTAGGAATGCTTTTGTGAGACATAAATAAATTAGTGTCATCAGCAAACATAATTGTTATTAAATTCGAGGCTTTGTATAGATCATTAATATAAATAAGGAAGAGAAGAGGTCCTAATATGGATCCTTGAGGAACTCCACATGTAATATTTAACAAACTTGATGAAAATGATTTATCAGCATAAACAAATTGTTTACGATTAGTTAAATAACTTTTCAACCATTTTAAAACATTGCCTATTATACCATAATATTCTAATTTTTTAATAAGAATTCGATGATCAATTGTATCAAACGCTTTCGCTAAATCAATAAATATTCCCAATGTAAATTTAGAATTGTTAAATGAGTCTGATATACTTCTTGTAAGCTGAATAATTGCATGCTCTGTTGAATTATTTTTTTTGAATCCATATTGCATGCTATATAATAATTTGTTTGTTAAAAGGTGATTGTATATTCTGTTGTACAAAATTCTTTCTAAAATTTTAGAAAAAACAGAGAGGATGGAAATCTTCTCAATTTGAAGGGCTTTGAATGTCTGCTTGCATAAAACCCGCGTCCAGGAATAACTTTATGACTGCATTATCATTATTGTAAAACTTGATCTGATGTTTAAATTTGTCTGGAAGATCAAAACAAACAGTAATGGTCTTGAAACCGAACAGGTTTGTCGGTTTTAAGATTATTACTATTTGTAATGGCCTTGTAATGTAATGAAACATTGCAACAAAAATATTACTAGCAGCGTACGTTAGGGTCATTGGTGGCAACTTTTTCCCAATGGCATGTTCTCTAGTTATGACTGTCTGTTATCTTCCTAATAGCCATGCTTTGATCGATGCGCAAAGTTCCTCATTGATTCCATAGCTTTGGACTTTGTCAAAGGATTTTGTTAAATTTGTAAGATAACGTTTATATGTGTACCTGAAATGATTCAGCGCACCATTATTGAAAAAATTAGAGTATTTTTGGGGGCGTTTTGGCATTCAATATCCATATCCTAATGTTTACTAAAAAAGCAAAAAATTAGTTTAATTTATGCCCACAGTTAAATGTAATTAATTTATGTATCATGCTTTTATTTATACTAAAATACAAGTAAAAATAGTTATGTTCGTTTATTTGGTATGGTAACATATCAAATAAACATAACATATGGTAAAATAATTAAACAATAGTCAACAGGTAAAAATATTTAACCTAATAAATGTCAATGCTATCCACATGTCAAAGTAGCCCCAAGTTATCTCAGACCTTTCTCAGCTTTACTCTACACATGACACTAGTAGCGGACTGGCTGTATATATATTACCGGACTGGCTGTATATACATTACAAAGACTGCCCGGTCCGCAATTTTCAAAAAATAAGTCCTGAGAGAAACAATTAAATCACAGAATAATAAAATTAGATTGAATTAAAAAAGTACAAGTGATGTGCAATTTTCACAGTGCAAAGTATAGCAATAGCTATTCTTAATAACAGTTTGCACAATTTAGAGGACGAAGATGCATATCTTTGAATGATCGTATCATACTCAAGGCTATCAAGTAGACTTTTTTCTAAAGACGTCAACATATACAACTCTAAGTGGACATTCGCAATCTTATCTTGATTAACTTTAAATTAGAAAACGATTTTTCACCTTTGGTTTGTGTTACAAAATTAGTATATATTTTTTTGTAATTATGATACAAATTGTCATAGGTTTTGTCGTTGAGTCTATATGCAGCAAGAAATCGTAGCACATAAGATCGACACGATCCACATGCTTTATTAATATTTTTATAACAACGCGGTTAATCTGGATCATCCTTTTGATCTGCATTCTCTCTCAATGTTGTCGTTAATGGCCAAGATAGTTTCAAAATCTCATAGTTAATCACAAATGACAACAGTTTGGCCATTATTTTATCAACACCGGCATCCGGTAAAAATTTGATAATGCTGGGTAAACTGTTGTATCAAAATATGTCATGTTCATATATAATTGTCAAAGTGAAGTAAAACGTGACTGAAGACTTAGGACTACCTGATCCATCACTGCGTTGTAAGTGGGAATTCTGAGGGTTCCAAAGCTTTATATTCGTCATGTATGATCATCTAACATCATTTGTGTCTTCCGCTTCCGTTTAACAGCTAGTTCTGTCTTCACCTCTAATATGGTTTGAGTTTTCTGGATGATGCTTGCGTTTGCTATCCGTACAAATTGAAGAGCGTTATTATGAACATCATCAAAAAATCTTGATTGACTTTTCAATTCAATTGCAGCCTTATCCACCATCTTAAATGCAACCAACACATTTAATCCACGAGTTGCAGGTATATTGAAAGTGATCCCACTTTTTCAAAAATGTGCAGGTATGTAAAGGCAGTCAAAATGGTATCGAATTTCAGGAATGTCTTAGCTTCATGACGTGTTTTTGCATCAAAATTTTTTGATTCGCTCATAAATGACGGACAAAAAATTAAATTGACAAACACTGTAAAAGACGCCGCAGCAAATGTTCCAAATATCGCCGTTGCAGCATTTGATTTACCCGACCAATCAACTTCAATCTTTTTATCTTATCCATTCGAATTTGTGTTTCAACAAGTTTAATCCAAGTCGCCATTCGCTTATATGACACTTTTATGAATGTTGAAACATTTTGCTAAAGGTTAAAAAATGAAACTGCCTGAATGCAGTCACTGGTTGCCTCCTTCACAACTAAGTTGAGAACATGAGCATAACACCAAATATGTACATGGTGGTCTGCAGCTTCTGTAATCTTTTGTTACAGTCCGTTGTACTGGCCATGATAACTTGAAGCACCATAAGTGGTGTCCGATAGGCAGTATTGCAAATTAAAGCCAAGCCGCTTTAGCGTCAAATTTAAGAGATCGAACATGCTTTGTCCAGTA